AACTCACCGAGACGTCGCAGCATGATACCGTGGTCTACGGTATCAAAAGCCGCTGAGAGGTCCAAAAGAACAAGGACAGAGGAGTATCCCCTGTCCCGGGCCCTCCAGAGATCATTAACCAACGCGACCAATGCCGTTTCCGTGCTGTGCCCCGGCCTGAAGCCCGACTGGTATGGGTCTAGATAGACTGTTTCATCCAACGTTGTCCATATCGCATGGGGCTGGAAAAATCGCAGGTGGTTTTTCCAAGAGGCAAGGCAAACTTTGACATTGTGGGGGGCAATTTTCTATCCAGTATCAAAATCATCTTTTATAACTACTTTAGCGGTAGAGATGTCTGGATGTCTGGATCTCAACCTGTTTCGCTCCAAGCAGGCTACATTGCTCAGTGTTAGCAGTTGGGAATTATCGATAATCTTCAAAAGTTCTTGAAGGAGAACTTAATTTCATCTTTTTTCCTACACTAGGAATCCACCCTGAAGAGCGTCCTGAGTGCCTTGTGGAACCTCTCAGCTCACAGCACTGAGAATAAAACCGCCATCTGCATGGTGGACGGAGCACTTGGCTTCCTAGTGAGCACACTCACCTACAAGTGCCAGAGTAACTCGCTTGCCATCATTGAAAGTGGAGGTGGGATCCTAAGGAATGTCTCCAGCCTGATTGCCACCAGAGAAGATTACCGGTTAGTAATCCCCGTTTCTCTCCTTGTTCCAGTAACCTTTGCACCAAGAAACATCCCATCAGTACAGGGGTATCTTGGCACTCGGCTGCTTTGAAATGGAACAAATTTGGTACTCAATGCATTCTGATGTGAAAATTTTGTCCTGGTACTCATCGTTTGTTTGGTCCTCAACGCACAAGCTAGAACAGTGGTTCTCAACCTTTTTAATGCCGCATCCCCAACCGGTCGTAAGTCGAGGACTAAACCGGTCGTGCGCCGGCCGAGGCGTAGCTGGCAAGCGGCAGAGATGGAGCAGGCCGACCACCAGCTGGCCCAGCCCAAGGGAGGTAAGGCACCCGCCGGAAAAGGGGAAAAAATGGAGAAAAAAAATGGCGGACAAAAAAAATGGCGGACAGCCTTGCTTGGCGACCCCCATGAAATAGTCGATTGACCCCAAATGGGGTCCCGACCCACAGGTTGAGAACCACTGAGCTAGAACTTGTCAGTGTCGGCTGCCTTGTGACTCACTACATTATTCCTTATGGGAAAAGTTTGTTTAGTATTCATCGTTTTTGGTACTCATCCTGCCTCCCGGAACCATTTAATGATGAGTATTGAGGTACTGCTACACATCAGTAGAGTCAAGACCAGCCCTTGTAGTCCTCAATCTCATGTCTGACCCCTTCCCAAGGCACTCTAGTTCAGGGGTCTTCAAACTTGGCCCTTTGACGACTTGTGGACTTCAACTCCCAGAATTCCTCAGCCAGGCATGCCTGGCTGAGGAATTCTGGGAGTTGAAGTCCACAAGTCGTCAAAGGGCCAAGTTTGAAGACCCCTGCTCTAGTCTGTCAGAAAATGAGTGGCATTATTGTCATTGAATCTCCTGGGTAGTCCTTATAAGGGTAATCCTTAATTTACAACTATAATTCCATCACTAAGCAATGCAACCATTAAGTGAGTCACATTCAGTTTTGCTTCTTTTTTTTTTTTTGCTGTGGTTGTTAAGGGAATCCAGATTCCCTTATTGACTTTGCTTGCCGGAGCTTTCTCGGAAGGTCGCAAATGACAACCACATGACCCCAGGATGCTGCCTCAGTTGTAAATATATGCCAGTTGTCAAGCACCCGAATTTGGATCACTTGACCGTGGGGACACTGCCGTTGTAACTTTGTTTGCTAAATGAATGGCTGTAAGTCATGGACTACCTGTATCCTTTTTCCAATTGTGGTCCACTTTTCCTTTTGGATAGCTACAAATTGGATATGAAAGCTAAAACTCCACTTGTGTTGTTGTTCCCAGCAATTGATATTCATCAGACTATACCAGTGGTGGCGAACCTATGGCACGCGTGCCAGAGGCGGCACTCAGAGCCCTCTCTGTGGGTACTTCTCTGAACTGCTGGTAGCGGGCTGCGGAGCCCCAGAGTGCGCCGGTCAAGGGGCCAACAGGCTGTGGCTGCTGACGGACACCGTTGGCCCCCATGCGCTCGCTGGCCTCTGTGTGCGGGGGCTGATGGTGTCAGGCAGCAGCTGCCCCGGCCCCTGCCTTGCCTTGCCCTGAGATAATGGCACCCCCACCCTGCCTCTCCTCACCCCACAGGACGAGCCTCCTACCCACCACCCCACCTACCCACCACCTCACCTGCCCATCCAGAACCCCTGGATCTCCCCCAACCCTGCCCGGCCCCCACAGGCGTCCCTCCCCACGAACAACATCAAGGAGACCATGCCTACCTTGGCCACACCCACCCAATCTGCCATGACCACCACAGCCACGCCCACCCAGTGGGCCACGCCCACCTGGCACCCGGTGATAAATAAGTGGGTTTTGGGTTGCAGTTTGGGCACTCGGTCTCTAAAAGGTTCGCCATCACTGGACTATCCCATGAATTCAGAGATCCTAAAACAGCTCCTGCCCCCTCCCCTTAAATTATATGATCTCACTCCTTCCTTGGCCTTTCCCTTGCCAGTCTGACCCCTTGTGTTTTCCTCCAGGATCTGTGCTGGTTTTATCCTAACCCCAGTGTCAATCTGCTCTTTCCTAGGCAAATTCTGAGGGATCACAACTGCCTTCAAACTCTCCTCCAGCACCTCAAATCACACAGTCTGACCATCGTCAGCAATGCATGTGGCACTCTGTGGAACCTCTCTGCCCGTAGCCCCAAAGACCAAGAGCTACTATGGGACCTGGGGGCGGTCAGCATGCTCCGAAATCTCGTCCACTCTAAGCACAAGATGATCGCCATGGGCAGCACCGCAGCCCTCCGGAACCTCCTTGCCAATCGGCCACTCAAGTATAAAGATGCCATGGTCATCTCACCAGGTTCCTGTATGCCCTCCCTGTATATGCGGAAACAGAAGGCCCTGGAGGCTGAACTGGATGCCCAGCACTTGGCTGAAACTTTTGACACCATGGAGAAGCAGACAATGAAGAAGCAGAGCGTCACCAAGAAACCAATGCGTCACATGGATAGCTTGGCCAAAGACTACGCTTCTGATTCAGGTTGTTTTGATGACGATGAAGTGCCCAACGTCTCCAGCAGTACGGAGACAGGAAATGCGTCAGTTCTCTCCATGTTCCTAAATTCATCCTTCCTCCAAAGTCAAACTTTGCCAAGAACGATTTCCCAAAGAAGAGGCCCAGAACCGGAGAAAGATGAAAGTGGGAAGTCCACAGAGGCCAAGAAGGTCTCCCCGCTGCTCATACCCCAGAACAATAACGCCTCTGTAGTGGCTGAGAAATTGGCCAAGATCACTACGACTGTGGCCAAGATAGATAAGTTGGTGGAAGATATAACCACTCTCCATACCTCCTCTGATGACAGCTTCAGCCTCAGCTCTGAAGACCACTGCCTTGACTGGCATTATGGTCTGGATGAAGTCCATGAGGCCCGTGCCCAGTCTTGCTCTCCATGCCGCCTCTCGGACACCAGTGGGATTATCAAGCGTGAAGGTCTGAACCGGGCTCACACCCTCTTGAGACTGAAAAATGCGTATACGAGCTTGTCCAATGACAGCCTCAACAGCGGAAGTACCAGTGATGGCTACTGCCCTAAGGAACACATGAGACCATGTACTAGAACAACCTTCTTGGACTTTAAAGATGAGCTACACCGGTATCAGAAACGGCCCAGCCGTCTTGATTTGAAGAACATCTTGATGAATAGGCCAGAAAAGATGGAACTGCCTGAGAAGAAACAGCAAGAATCCAGCGTGGTAATTGAGAAACCAGAACTTCTTGAGAAAGCAAAAGTAACAAGGCTTCCACCCAATCCTGATGTTGCTGAGAAAGAATCTGAATGTAAGAAGAAAGAGGGAGGGAGAGAGCTAAATCCTGATCCCCAAGTCCATACAATCAAACTCTCCCCATCCTATCAACATGTGCCCCTCATAGACAACAATGCCATAGCATCTGGGACTATGGGAGTCTTGGGAACCAGTTCTTTCTATCCCAGCTTATCCATGAAAACCACAGATAATCTTAACAAGGTTCCAGAGAAACTGACTGCAGCAAAACCAGTGAAACAAGAACAGCTGCAGAAATACTCGGTGGAAGACACGCCAATCTCCTTCTCCCGATGCGGTTCCCTGTCTTCTATTTCCTCTGCTGACAATGTCCTAGATGGACAGAGCCATAGTGAGAACGAGATGGACACGGACTCCTCTCTAGAGATCATTGAGGTAGAAGAAGTGGAAGAAGCTCAAAAGGACAATCGAGAAGAGAAGGCAAAGCAAGGTGTGGAAACCCTTACCTCATCTTCACAACCCATTGCTATCCCCTTCCCTAAGAAAGAGAAAATGTTCCTAAGAGGAGTGTCACCTTCTCGCCATGAGGACTTGACCCCTTCCAGCTCATCTGAAAATTACATCCAGGAGACCCCTTTGGTGATGAGTCGCTGCAGTTCAGTCAGTTCGCTGGGCAGTTTTGAGAGCCCGTCCATTGCGAGCTCTATCCAAAGTGAACCCTGCAGCGAGATGATTAGTGGTACAGTCAGTCCTAGTGAGCTACCGGATAGTCCTGGGCAAACCATGCCTCCAAGCCGCAGCAAAACACCTCTGTTTGAACTAAGCCAGCCAGAGAAGGAGGCCAGCCAGTTCAACATCCAGTGGGAGAACAATGTCAAGAAATTTATGGACATCACGGATTTTAAGGAGCGTTTCCAGATGCCCCAAGACCTTGACTCCATGGTCTACTTCACAGTGGAGAAACCCAATGAGAACTTTTCATGTGCCTCCAGCTTGAGCGCATTGCCCCTCCACGAGCATTATGTCCAGAAGGATGTTGAGTTGAAACTTATCCCGCCATTCCCGGAAAGGAGTGGGTTGAACTTCATGACGCATGAGAAGAGAGATGATGAAAGGGTCATTGAGGGCCAAAGGAAACTGGAGCGCCTTGAGTTGACTTCCGATGAGGATATTGAAATTCTGAGGGAGTGCATCAATTCGGCTATGCCATCCCGTTTCCGGAAGATCAGGACATCTCTTGTCTCGGGCCTTCCAGGCCAAGTCCTAAACCCTCAGTCAAAGAAGTCAATGCAGGTTCCACTCTATATGTTGGTTCCTGCCAATTCCCACTTGGGTATCCCCAAGCACAGATGGGCCACAGTCACCAGACCCAACAAGGACTACCTGGGCAATGAGGATTCCTTCACTGACTCAGCAGAAGGAACCCCCGTCAACTTCTCCAGTGCTGCTTCTTTGAGTGATGAGACCCTTCAATACCCTATGAAAGATGAGGGAGATTCCCGGCATTGCTCTGGGAAAAAAAAGGAAGCAACGGGGGCTCCGATGGGGGTGCTCAAGAGGGAGATCTGCCAGCTTGAACAAAGCAGCTGCCGGATTGGAAGAATCACCTCCAGCCATTCAACACCAACCAAAATGGCCTCCTCCTCTAAGCACAAAACTGGATCAAATCACACCAGCCCGCTCCGTGCAACCCGGGCCCAATCAGCTGAGTCCAGGAGAGGAAACATTCCCCTCAGAAACCTAGAATTGACTGCCTTGAGGCAAGGTAGCTCAAGGGCAAGTTCTGAGGGCAACCGTTCCAAGAAGAAGGAGGAATCTCGGGAGAACAGCAGCCATGACAGTGATGGAGCCTTCCCATCCTTCTGCCACACCACGCCAACCGAAGAGGCTGTCTACTGCTTCTATGAGAATGACTCTGATGACTTAGTGGAGTTAGACATGAAGAATTCACCCAAGAGAAAGCCCAACCTGGCCAGCAAAGGTCAAAAGAAAGAATGCTGGGCTAAGAAAGAACTTGAGATAAGTTCCAGTCAGCAGCTTCATGCTAAAAACAAAATGGTGTCCCATCTCCGGAGCAACCTAATTGCAGATGAGACTCCACCGTGTTACTCTCTCAGTTCCTCCCTAAGTTCCCTGAGCGATCTCGAACTCTATGGGACTGGAGAAAAGATGCAGATGTCCAAGATCAGAGCTAACCGCCAACTGACCTTGAACCGTCGGCATGGGATGAAAGCAGCCGTGTCCAAAGGGAGGGACAGCTCTGCCAGTTCCCTCAGTTACAATTCAGACAATGATCTCCTGCAGAAGGGCATCGGTTTGAGCGGGCCCAAGAGGAGGCGCCATTCAGCCAAAAGGAGGAATGCTGAGAAGGAGCAGAAGGGTCTCAAGGCCAAGGAATGGAGGCCCGAGGGGTTTCCTGATGAAATAGCTTCTGAAAGAGGCTCAGATCTGGACAGCATTGAGTGGAAAGCCATCCAGGAAGGGGCAAACTCCATTGTTACTTGGCTGCACCAAGCTGCTTCTTCCTTTGGCAAGGAGACGTCCTCAGAATCTGACTCCATTTTGTCTTTTATGTCTGGCCTTTCGGCAACCTCTGCTTTACAGCTGAGTTTGGACAGAAGAGAAAAGACCTGGGGCAGGAAAGGTCCCACCGGTGGTGCGGAGAAGAAAAACCTCCCCAAATCTTTCCAAGATGGCAAGAATCTGAATGAAACAAGAGGTGCTGGCGGCAGGAATAAAATGGAGAAAAACGTAGGACAGCAGAAACCATTGAGCAACCCACCCCTAGTTTTCCGAGGCAGGACGGTGATCTACATGCCTGAGGCGGCCAAGGAATCCCCAGTGCAGAGCTCCAGATCCACCCCAAGGAAAACAGTAGGGGCCACTAAGCAGGAAATTCCTGAGAAAACTCTGAATCTCAACCAACCGAGATCAAGGAGTCTCCACCGGCCTGGGAAGATCTCAGAAATGATGGAATTGATGTTGCCCAAAAGAAGCGCAACCCCACCTGCCAGGATGAACAGAGCACCGTCATCCGGATCCTCCAGGACATCCACGCCATCCCAACCCAACCAGAAGAAGCTCACATCACCATCGCAGCAACCCAACAGACAGACACCATCTGCAAAGACCAGTGGAAGCACCACACCTGTTGGTCCAGCCCCCAAACCAGTCCAGAAATCCCCTGTGTCTAAGCAACACAAGACCCAGAAATCACCTGTCCGCATCCCTTTTATGCAGAAGCCCGTTAAGAAGACTCTTCCGGTGAGGAACACCATGCCTACATTGGAGGAACGAGGAGGAAACAGCAGCAGTGAACTAAGGCCTAAGGTCAACGGGAAAGGCATTCTCCAGGCCAACCGCCTTAATTTGATGCGCATGTCCTCAGCGAGATCCATCAGCAGCGAATCCCACCAGTCGGGCTTCCTACGGCAGCTGACATTCATCAAGGAGTCGCCCAGTCTTCGCATGAGGCAACGTTCTGAGGTCTCCTCTTCCCAGCCTTTGTCCTCACTCTCTCAGGGTGCCTCACCACGAAGAGGCCGGCTTGGCCTGCCTACCGTTTTCCTCTGCTCGTCCAGATGTGATGATCTCAAAGTGGACAAGCCCGCTGGGTCAAGCCAACGTCCTGTCATCTCCAGGGTGCCTCTTCCCAGCCAGAGTCCCCCTGCAGGGGGCCCGCCAAGGCCGCCACGCAGGACAAACTCAGAAAGCCCTTCCCGGTTTCCCATCAAAAACAACAACGTTCCTCCAGAGCCTTTCAAGCGTTACTCCTCGTCTCCTCAAATCAACATCGTCAAGAGGACCGCCAGCCCCACTTCTACCCCATCGGACGGCCCTGAGCCATTAAGTGGGAGAAAGAAGAATGAGGAGGTCTCAAAACTCCCAGTGATTCCTTCTGCAGAGAAAGGAACCGAAAATCAACAGCAGCAGCGGCAGCAGCAACAGCTGCAGCAACAGCCGCGGCAACCGCCACAGCTACCACAGCAACAGCCATCGCAGCAGCAGCAACAGCCGCCGCAGCCGCAGCCACCGCAGGAGCAGGCGATGGTGAAAGGGACCTGGAAGAGGATCCGTGATGAGGATATACCCCATATTCTGAAAAGCACCCTACCGTCTACAGCGTTGCCCCTGGTTAGCGCTTGGAAGGAAGAAGAGAGCGATCAGACGCCTGGAGTTCTCCACCCGAAGACGAGTGACGCGGTTGTGCAGACAGAAGAGTTCCCCACCACCAAGACTAATTCCAGCACTTCCCCTACTCTGGAGGTGCAGAAAGTCATCCAGATCCCACCTGATGGAGATGGCTTCGCTCTAGCGAAGGCCACCACCCCCGCGTCCATCTCCTTTACTCACGAAGGGTCAGTCAGCTCTCTTGGGAGTTTCCCTTCCAGCAGGCACAGCTCCCCAAGCCGGGCTGCTCGGGTGACCCCGTTTAATTACACCCCCAGCCCAATGGTGGAGCCCACAGTCAACGAGAAGCAGGTGGAGAAAACGCAAGTTTGACCACCCTCCAGCTTGGTCTGACAAACTCCCGGGGTCTTCTTAGCTAGCCCCCAATATTTAAACACCAAATTTGGATGTGTTCATTTTTTAAGAAGCTATATTTGTCATTTTACCCCAACCATCTCCATTCTTAACAAACAAGGAAGATCGGATGAGTGTTATACTGTACATGCAAGATTAGAGGCATCGCTTCTTGTGAGAGATATAAAAGACACAAAGGAACAAAATATACAGATAATCCTCGACTTACAACCACAGTTGGGACCAAATTTCTGTTGCTAAGCAAAGCGGTTGTTAAGTGAATCGCACTTGATTATATGACCTTTTTTTGCCACGGTTAAACAAAAATCACTGAAGTTGTTAAGTGAAACATGTGATCTTTAAGCAAGTCTGTCTTCCCTCATTGACTTTGCTTGTCGGAAGCCAACTGGGAAGGTTACAAATAATGATCACATCACACACACACACACACACACACAACCAGAGACATTGCAATCATCATAAATACATGCTGGTTGCCAAGCACTCAAATTCTGAGTGTCCGTGGGGATGCTGCAACAGTTGTTAAGTACAAGGACTGATTGTACGTCAGTTTTTTCAGTGTCATTGTAACTTTGCATGGTCACTAAACAAACAGTTGTAAGTCGAGGACTACCTGTATTTTTTCTTTCTTTCTTTCTTTCTTCCTTTCTTTCTTTTTCTTTCTTTCTTTCTCCCTCCCTCCCTTTCTTTCTTCCTCCCTTCCTTTTTCTTCCTTTCCTTCCTTCCTTCCTTCCTTCCTTTTCTTTCTTCTTTCCTTCCTTCCTCCCTCCCTCCCTCCCTCCCTCTTTCTTTCTTTCTTTCTTTCTTTCTTTCTTTCTTTCTTTCTTTCTTTCTTTCTTTCTTTCTTTCTTTCTTTCTTTCTTTCTTTCTTATCTTTTGGAATGAGTGGAAAAAATGAGACACACCCCCCAAGCAACTTTTTCTATTGGCAGGAGGGTTTACAAACTGATCTTCTGAATTATTTGAGTGGGGTCAACTGCTATACAGGAAACTTTCCCCTGCATTCTTGTGCAGAGAAGTGGGAATGTGAAGCAAAATTCTTTCAGCCACCAAGCCCAGGACCCCAGCGCTGGGCTTCTTGTAAAAATTTGCAATGGGGCTTCTGGATATCTCATGGGTGAAGATGCTTCATGACTGCAGTCCCACCCAGCTCCAACAAGTCTATTATCTGACTTTTGAAAAATCATCCCAACTTTGAACTGGCATTGTTTTGGAAATTGGGGGCTTTACGAAAGACCTGCCTGAAGCTGACCGAAGGGGCAGGTTGAATACAGCAGATATGCAAAATTGACCTGCTTCATCTGAGGACAGTTTAGTCCAGGGGTCTGGGAGCTGAAGTCCACAAGTCTTAAAGTTGTCAAGGTTGCAGACCCCTGGTTTAGTCCAACCTTCAGAATCACCCACCCTTTACGTTGCACAGGACCTGAGGCACTCCTTGACTTAACGACTCCAACTGAGCCCAAAATTTCTGCCGCTAAGCGAGACAGTGATTGAGTGAGTTTTGCCCCATTTTTACGACCTTTTCTTGCCACAGTCGTTAAATGGATCACTGCGGCATGGTTAAGTTAATAACTCAGTTGTTAAATGAACCTGGCTTCCCCACTGACTTTGCTTGTCAGAAGCTCGCAAAAGGGGGATCCGTAGGACTCCAGGACACTGCAACCGTCGTAGGTGCGAGTCGGTGGCCAAGCGGCTGAATCCGGACCACGTGACCGGGGGGGATGCTGCAATGGTTGTAACTGTGAAAAACGGTCAATCCGTCACTTTTTTTCAGTGCTGTTGTAACTCTGAACGATCCCTTAGCAAACATTCGTAAGCCGAGGAATACCTGTAACAAAGAGCACGAAACGGCATTCTGAAGGGGTCCACGGCCTTCCCCCCCCCCAAACAGGCCTCCATCTCATGTTGAGAATATTTCTAGATCGTCTTCTGCCAAATCTGCTCCCCCTTTGCTCCGTCTGTGGATCCAGCCATGCAATGAAGAATCACATTGCCAAGGATCAACCCTGGATTATCCAACGGCTGGGCCAAGTTCACACATCCAAAGCGTGCTCAGGATTCCCCTCCGTTAACTGCCAGTTTCTCTCCACGTGGAACTCTTCTCTTCTCCAAGCCTAGGAAGAAAATCCTCTTGGCATCAGAGGAGAACTTGACTGCAACCATTCATTAAAGTAATAAATCACAACGCTGCTTCGTGGAGGGCAGGGGGCGAGAGAAAGAGAGACAGAAGACCTCAAAACTGGGCTGCATGCTTTAGAGTGCAATTTGGATGTGCAGCTATTGGAAGTGGGTCCTCTTGGGAACGCAAAGAGGCCGATTTCCGAGCAGACATGTCGAGAATTGCACTATTAGTCTTAATATGTGGGCATCAGTACCCCCCAATTAAAATCAAGATATCCTCAGCTATTTATTGGGGGTGGGAAGCGGGAGGAGGGAGGGAAGGAAGGAGAGGCATTAATGCATCTGAGAGGGAATATTTGGTGGGAGAAATTTATACATCGGCGAAAAAGAAAAGGGGAAAAAAAAGAACGACAGACAGACAGACCTAGAAGGAGAGTGGCACCCTTGAGCTGTGAATACATGATCTGTATACTTTGCTGTGCCTCTAATTACAGCCGTTCCTTAATCTGCTAATGACTAATCTGTCTTTCTGTGAATGCTGGGCGTTTTTACGGAGGGGAGAGACACAAACGGCATCTTAGCAACTTTACATTCTATAGGCAAAACTGGATTGGTTGTTCGGGCAGCTTGGAAGGGTCTTCAAGGAGATTTGGGGCACTGGAAATGTTTGAGAGAGGTGATAAAGAGAGAGAAATAAAAATTTGCAACTTGTGGGCAGATATGTTTCTGTTGCACATCAGTGTTTTTCAACCTTGGCCACTTCAAGACGGGTGGACTTCCAACTCCCAGAATTCCCCAGCCAGCATGGCTGGCTGGGGAATTCTGGGAACTGAAATCCACCCATCCTAAACTAGCCACGGTTGAGAAATTCTGCTTCGCATATTAAAGAGCACTTTCTCTTGAGCTCAATTTCTCATGTTTAAGGTAATTTCAGGAATCCTGTTAAGACTCTGGCAAATTAGTTTGTGTTTCCATAAGGTCCTTGTGCTGAGGTAAAGCAGCTGGGATTAAATTTGAGTCATGCCTTAGATGACATAAAGAGGAAATTGAAGCAGGTGCATGAGATCAAGCCCCTAAGCCAGGGGTAGGCAACCTTGGCTCTTTTATGACGTGTGGACTTCAACTCCCAGAATTCCTGAGCCAGCCATGCTGAGGGGAAAGGGAGAGGTTTCCAAGCTGAGCCATGCTGGCTCAGGAATTCTGGGAGTTGAAGTCCACGTGTCATAAAAGAGCCAAGGTTGCCTACCCCTGCCCTAAGCCATGGCATCCAGCATTCCGATCCAACCCGGAGGTTCACAAGCGAAGCATGAAGAACAAGTACTTTGATTATGGTTTCCGGTGCCTGATAATTCAGAGATTTAGTGATTAATAGCCCTTGTGGAATAACCTCATCCTCTTTGGAAACTCTCCAAGGTACGTCTGTTCAGTCTCTTCACAAGTTGCTTTTGAGCACAGGATCCCGATCACTAGGTTTATATTGCAAGATTCTTATTCTAGCATAGGATCTCTTTCAGTTACTTGAGAACAATATAATCAATCAGAGATACCGTATATTGCTAGAGATAAACAAGAGGATTCTTGAGGCACTTTCAAATTGTAAGATTCTTCTGGGCCTGAATTTACGTATAACCTTCGGGTCTGACTTGGTGAGAAATTCCCTCTTTGTTCAAGTTGGTTTGCTCCTAAACCTGCAATCCTGTGGACCCGTGTTTCTCAACCACGGCAGCTTTAAGATCTTTGGACTTCAATTCCCAGAATTCCCCCCAAGCCTGTGATGGTGCTGGTTTACCTGCATAAAGATTACCAGAGCTGAAATCCCGACCAGTAAAGAAAGTCAAAACGATCGAGATGGTGGCCACAACTGTACATTAAAATTCCTTTTTGTGTGTGTGTGTGTGTTGCATGTGTTTAAAAAGGGATGGCTTCTACTGCACTGTTGGGCTGCTACTGTAATATATTTACTAATTCTTTTTAAAAAAAAAACACACAGGAAAAAAATCTCTTGTCTTCCAGTTTCACTAAGCTGGGAGCCAGAACGTTTCACGAAGGGAAATGTCCCACAATTTTCTCATTTCTGGATCAATAAAACCATACAATCCATCCCAAATTACAATTTTTTAAATCGCCAGTGACTTCAGCTAACCAGATCTTAAGGTCAAAGAAGAGAAGAAGGAAGTCTCTCTTCTGTTATTTCAACCTAAGAAAAACTAGTTTTGCATCCTGTTAAGGAAATGGTGTAGCACAGGAGTCTTCAAACTTGGCCCTTTTATGACTTGTGGACTTCAACTCCCAGAATTCCTCAGCCAGGCACGCGTGCCTGGCTGAGGAATTCTGGGAGTTGAAGTCCACAAGTCATAAAAGGGCCAAGTTTGAAGACCCCTGGTGTAGCATATTCTGCAGTAAGCAAAGTGGGATGGGGGGGGGTTGGACTTGGTGAACTTTTAGGTCCCTTCCAACATTATGAGTGGGCAACCTGCAGCTCCCGAGTCCTCTTTCTTGTCACACACATAAATTCAGAGAATTAAAGGTGCCATTTCCCACCCCTTTAATTATTTCATTATTTACATATGACATTTATAACCCCCTTTTCTAATAGAAGTTCAAAGCAGCTTACAGTGTTCCCTCCTCCTATTTTTCCCCACAATAACCTTCTGGGGTAGGTTAGACTGAGAGGGAGGGATTGCCCCAAAGTCAGCGAATGAGCTTCTGAGCTGGAGAGAGAGACTAGAACCCAGGTCTCCCCACTCCTAGTCCAGTCCCTTCCCCACTAAACCTGATTGGCTCTTGGGCTAAGAGGGAAGGACCAGCGCAGTATCAGCCAATGAGCATCTGTGGCT